TGTTAGTTGTTCGTCTTCCTATTTTCTACTAGTAGAACCAATAATTTTATATTTTTGACTTTATTATGGTGTTTAAAAACACCCAATTAGCCTAAGAACCTTCTTTGGTCTTCAAATCTTACTCCCTTTCTTCATAATGGCTTTTAAAGTAATAAAACTCATTTTTACCAAAGTCTTGAAAATTGCTCTAAAACTTTCTAATTAATTCTAAATAAATTATAAAAATTCCTATAATATTTTTATAATATTAAAATCATTTTGAAGCTATAATTTTTCTTTGATGATTTTTTATAGTAATAAAATCAATTTAAATCCACTATAAATTCTACTTTTTATGTAAATAAGTAAAAAGATAGGAATTTCTTTCTCATGCTTCTTTTAGCTATCGACTAACATTTATAGTTTATTTTTTATAAGTAATATGTATAGATAGAAGGCCAATATAAATATTAAACTTAGTAAATATCCTTTAATACTCAATAATAAATAAAAAAATACTAAACTAAGTGAGATAATTACCTCTAATACTTACTAAGACTCCCATACTACAACTAACATTCTAATTTTCTATTTGTCTAAATATTTCTATACTATTCACCATATATTGTGGTTCTAAGTACTCTAAATGCATCTTTTTATCCTAAAACAACTAGTGAGTCCATTTGATGACTCACACTTGCACCTTTTTCTATTTGTCAACAAGTCAAGTATGTAGCTTATTGATTACATCTACCAAAGTCTATGAAGATTTATTTTTTATTCCACATATCTCTTCTTGAGCCATATAAGACAATGAATATCTTGAGAAGAAATCAAATGCCACCTCTTCTTATAAAAATGGATAATAATTAAGAGTATGAAGTAGAAGAAGTTTTAGATTTAGGCAATATTGAAATAGGTTGAAACATCTTAAGCATTGGTGTAGATATGATATTAATGAATATACATGGGAGCCAATAAAGAATCTTATAAATACAACAAAGAAGGTTGAGGCTTTTTATCAATGACATCCATGAAATCCAAGATAAAAAATTGCAAGTTCCATTAAAAATGATAACCGCTTTTAGTGGAATTCGTTTCTAGAAGAAGATGTAATGTCATAGATATACATATTTATTGTAGTAATTATCTACATGATTAAATATAAATAAATATAAATATATTTATGTTTTAATATTTTTTAAAAAAGCTTTCCAAAAGCTTTATAGACGTTGATTTGACTTTACATGTATTTTTTAGTTGATTGGTAGATTAAAAACTTGGAAAACAAGTTAACCACATGTTAGTAGCTTGCAGAACAAGTTAACTATGTGGCATACATATAAAAAACTTGCCTTGTAAGTTAAGATATGTGTCTTGTAAAATTATCTTCTTTTAGAGGTTCTATAGGACATCATCACATAGCTCTTAGTTAAGAATATATATATGGAGGGAAGAGTAAAGCCTTCTTCTTTCTTGTCAATGACTTTTTAGTCTTTAGTCTTGTTTCAAGTCTTTTTAGTATTTTTATCTTTGGCAATAGCTATTCTAGTTTAATACTATATCATCTATGAGTGATTTTTTAGTCTTTTTGAGTGGTACAAGAGTGAATTGAGGTTTTTATTTCTTCACGATTTATGTCCTTGATATTGTATAGACATTGTATCTAAATATTTTAATTATCCAAATCTACAATCTTAACTAATGTTTTATGTACCAATTTAGATTGAATAGGCTCTTATTAACACAATAATTGATAAAGACTACAAGATATCGAAAATTCTTGTCTATCATTTTAATAATCTATAGCAATCTATAATATTATCAAATTTTTGTAACAATGGTTGCTATATTATTATTTTTATTTTTATTTTTGATAAATTTTTAAAATTATTTATTAATCTTTTAAGTTAAGTCATTTTTAAAAAAAATAATTTTTAGAGGTTGTTTTATAATCAATCAAAGACTTTATTGATGCATCTTTAAAATACACCAATAATTTTTTTAAAAAGTTTTAATAATTTAATTGGTGCTCCAAAGAACACTAATATAAAGTGTAAGATTATTATAATAGTAAACTTCAAAATATATTATGACAAATTGACAAGTTTTTTTAATTTTAAAAATATTCTAACATTATTAATACTTAATTTTTTCTATTGAGAGAAAAAAGTGGTTTAAGAAAATCTAATAACTATTAATAATCTAAAAATATAATATCTTTTTATTAATATTAAAATTTTAATCAATTTTTTTATTAAAAATAGTCTAATAAATTATATATATAGATATATATTTATATATTTTCACAAGTATACATCTAATTTTTAATACAAAATCAAATATATACATTTGATATGTTAAGCATAAATTTATTTATTTACATTATAAATTTATTCATTTTTTTATAAATAATATTTTATAAAAATAAGATTTCAAGATTAAATTAATTTTTTTTGAAATTTAAAATATATGTATTTAAATAATATAATAAAAAAATAAAGTGATTAAATAATATTTTATTTTGATTTTATTTTTTACTATCTTAATTTCTACTTTGATTATAAAAAATTATAATATGATTTTTTCTTATGTAAAATAATTATAGTTATATTTTATTAATATATTGTCTTATTTTATTGATTTTTAAAACTATAAGATTATATTATTTATGGACCATATGATATTTTTTCAAAATTATTTAATTTATTAATTCAAAAACTTTATGAAATATTGAATGACATTTAATTCTATTTATACTTTACAACAAAAATATTATTTCATATCATTATATAAACCAAATTATAAATTATTTTTACTATTTTTATTATTTAAAATAATTTATTTACTATTAAGAACTAAAAAAATTGGTGTGAAGTGGTGATATACATACTCAATCAAAAATTCATGCTGTTGGGCATTGCAATCTCTGGCACATCTATCCATTTCCTTGTGCACCTATGCTTATTCATTTCCATGTTCTTTAGTTTCTATGTTCCCATGTTCTTTGATTCTCATGTTCTCTTGTTCCTCTCATTTTCCCCATTTATTGGATTTCCTACTCTACGGCCAATCAGAAGACTTATTTATTTACTTTTTTTATATTTAGGTTATCTTACATAATGTGTATATATATATATATATATATATATAGTTAAAGTAGTGAAGCAAATAAATTATGTTGGTGTCAAATGTAGCATAATCTACAATGAGTTTAGTTTAGTTCAGAGTTTATAAAAAAAATATTCATAAATGTTTTCAGATCTTCTTTTTAGTTTATGCAAAAAATTAATAATTTCTATTTTTACACAAAACATTTTTATATTAATTTATATGAACATCTTTAGTATTAGCTATGTTAGTGGTATTACTGTATATTACCACGCATTGTGACAAATTAACATTAATTTCTACTGCTACAAGGTCTGTTTTTGCTAATTATTGTAATGCATGATAATAAATTATAAAATTATTTCCAATAAATCACAATATTATATGATAATAAATTTTATAATAAATCATAATGAAAATAATATAGCTAAGAGTCTTCTAAACTTATTTTAATAATATAATATTTTAAAAATAAAAAATAGATACATAATAAGAAAATTAAAAATCAAATTTTTACAGAAAACATAAAAATTGATAATTATAATATTTAATTATGAAATTTAAAGTTGTTTTAGCTAAAATATTGTATAAAAAATGTCAATAATGTGAAGAGGTACAAATTTTAAAGTTTAAATTCAAATTATACTTATTTTGAAATGAAAAGTAATATATTATATAAAAAATTTGTTCCAAAATAATATCCTGAAATTATAACAAGATTCTTTAATGGCGATTAATACAGTAATTCTTTTTCACTATTGAAATGATAAAATTTGGTAAAATTATTTAAGAGAATCACAAAAAAAAAAAAAAAAAAAAAAATCAAACACAAGGGAATATACAAACATGTTCATGTCAAATAATTATATTAAGATTATTAATGGATTAAAAAATCTAAATCAAACAAATGTTTTATTAAAGAATTAATAAGAATGAGGTAGATATTAAGTTAATAGGAATATAATTAAATATATCAATCAAGTTTAAGTGTTTTAAAATAAAAAATTATAATGTAATACAAAAAGTATTTTTAAAATCCACATATAATTTGTAAAAATTATAAATCAATTGATACAAATCTATCCATCTATCTATTTAGAGGATGTTGCTCATGCTTCCACAATTTTTGGTTCTACCAACCAATTGATACACTTATTTAGTTGATTTTATTTCAATATTTTTTTAATATTTTCTAAAATATATATTTTTCAAATTATGAAAAAAATAAAATTAATATTGAAAAATAATAAAAAAGTTGATAAGCATAAATTTGTGGTGGCAATAGCTAAAATTGTGGTGACATATGATGGTAGCAGTAGTAAAAACTTTGGTGGGTTATGTATATATATATATATATATAAAATAAAAAAGAGAAAAAAAGAAAAGAGTCATGTGATATGAGCAAATGTGTTCATAATGTTTTTGGAAATAAAGCATCTCACATTAGCATCACATTCAACGATAATTGTCAACAATTATGCACAAAGTTGACAAATTTCCCTCACTTAGAAACACGTGAGCATAATCACACAAGACAAGGGACCGTCCTCTCAACAAACAAAACACTACTACATCACAACCATGGCGTTCTCAAATTAGAAACAAATTTGAAATTCTAGAGTTGTAAGAGCCTACTTTGAATTTAGTGAAATCATTTTTGAGGACATGAAAGCATCCGAATAAAACAAGCAGTAGAATGCGAAAATTGATGGAATGGAAATGGGAGAAGGCGGAGGTGAGCCAGAAATCCCTCCCTAGGATGGGAATATTCCACCCGAAAGGAAAAAGGGGGAGAATCTAAGGAGCAGGTGGGAACGGGACTTAGAGGGAGGGGAGGAAATGAGGGGGGCGGGGTGTAGAGGCGGAGTAGGATATTTGGTATTGAGGGGTGGCCCCGTGCCTACGCCTTATGCAGCGCCGTTGTCGTTTCCAATCCTTTTTCCTGGAGGCCACTGGTTTCCAGCCTACCTGGTTGTCCCGTGCCTCCTTTCTTACGTGGTCGACGGAGCCTCCCTCCTGTTGCCGCCGTCTTTGCCTCCAGCGACGTGGTCGATCTCTGCACAGGACTGCCTGCCTGCCTGAGAGAATCTTCAAGGTCAAAATTCTTGTAGGGAGTTGGTTGGTTGGTTGGTTGGTTTGTTGTTTGGCAGGCTGGATGGCTGGCTATCTGCCTAGGAATCTTGCCTCGTTAGTTGCTGCTACGGTGGTGGTTGTCTCTGAGGTGCTTTTGTTCTGCTCGGGAGGTTGAGGTTGGTGACTTGGTGGCTGAAGGGATGTGACCTCCCGTTAAGCAGCCTGTCGCGGAGGTTGGGCTTGGAAGACTCTGATTGAGTGTGCGGGTGGGGGGAGGGTGGTGCATTTGAGAGGCTTCAGAGGTTTTCGGGGCGATTTTTCTCGTTTGGTGTTATGGGGTGAGGAGAGGAGAAATTAAGCAGTGAAGAGGAGGATTGGGCGGTTGGAGTCGGCGAGATAGTGAAGTGGAGATGGCGACCTCAGCCATGGCGTTATCGTTCATGCCGCCATTTTTTAGCATTTTTGAAGTTTGGGCGTGTTTGCTGCTCGTTGGGACGATTGTGTTTTTTTTTTGGAGACCGTATGCGCCGAAGCCTGTGGTGGTAGTGAAGCCGGCGATGGTTGTTGAGGAGGACGTGGAAGAGGACAGCCGCGTGAAGCGTGTAATGGTGTTCTTCGGGACACAGACAGGTACCGCGGAGGGATTCGCCAAGGCGATTGCGGAGGAGGCCAAGTCACGGTATGAGGGTACTGCTGTATTTAAGGTTATGGATCCCGATGATTACGGTGCGGATAATGAGCGATACGCGGCTCGGTTGAAGAAGGAGAAGTTTGCCTTGTTCATGGTGGCGACTTATGGTGATGGTGAGCCGACGGACAACGCCTCGCGTTTTCATAATTGGTTTATTGAGAATGAGGAGGAATTGGAACTAGGGTTGAATGAGTTGAATTTTGGAGTTTTCGGCCTGGGCAACCGTCAGTACGAGCACTACAACAAAGTTGCGAAGGAGATCGACAAAGCGTTGGCGAAGCAGGGTGCTAAGCGGATTTTGGAATGTGGTCTTGGGGACGACGATCAGTGCATCGAGGATGATTTCACTGCATGGAAGGAGAAGCTTTGGCCGGAGCTTGATGCTTTGTTGAAGGATCCCGAAGACACGACTGCTTCAACCCCGAAAACTCCTTACCATGCTGCTGTTGCCGAGTATCGCACGGTGACTTATGAAGCTGGAACGAAGCTTCATGTTGAGGAGTACGCTGCGAAGAAAACCGGACAAGCTGGGTATGATACACTTCATCCATGCAAGTCAGAGGTGGCTTTCGTCAAGGAGCTGCATACCTCCGAGTCGGACAGGTCGTGCACACACTCGGAGTTTGACATCGCCAATACAGGACTTTCGTATGAAACCGGCGATCATGTTGGAGTTTATGTGGAGAATAATCAGGAGGATGTGGAGGAAGCTGCGAGGCATCTGGGGATGCCGCTTGATACAATTTTCTCGTTGCATGTAGATGCCGAGGAGGGACAGCTGCTGGCTGGATCTCTTCCCCCGCCCTTCCCAGGACCGCTGTTGCTTGAGACAGCTCTGCGTCGTTACGCTGATTTGCTGAATCCTCCACGTAAAGCCGTCCTGAACGTCTTGGCCGTATTCGCATCCGACCCGGAGGAGGTCGAGAGATTGAAATATATGGCCTCTCTGCAGGGCAAGGCCGATTATTCCAAGTGGGTGGTGCAAAGTCAGCGGAGCTTGATCGAGGTATTATCTGCCTTCCCCTCCGTGAAATTGCCGCTCGGTGTATTCTTTGGGAGTGTCGCGCCACGCTTACAGCCACGATTTTATTCCATCTCCTCATCTCCTAAGGTATCCCCTTCCCGAATTCACGTCACTTGCGCCCTCGTCTACGGCCCGAGCCCCACGGGGCGCATCCACCGCGGTGTTTGTTCTACCTGGATGAAAAATGCACAGTCTAAGGAAAGTCACAGCGCGGATGAATGCAGCTGGGCTCCCATTTTTGTGCGCCAGTCGAATTTTAGGTTACCTTTGAACTCGAACACTCCAGTCGTAATGGTCGGCCCTGGAACCGGCCTGGCACCATTCAGGGGATTCTTACAAGAAAGAGCTGCCCTTCAGGAATCCGGATTTACCCTTGGACCCGCGAAGCTCTTCTTCGGGTGCCGAACCCGGGCACATGATTTCATCTACGACAATGAGCTCAAAAGTTTTGTTGAGAAAGGGGTGACTGAACTCACCGTAGCCTTCTCTAGGGAGGGTCCCAAGAAAGAATACGTCCAGGATAAGATGCTTGAGCAAGCAGGTGATGTGTGGAGATTGATTAGGGGTGGAGGATACCTGTACGTTTGTGGCGACGCGAAAGGAATGGCCAAGGACGTGCACAGGATGTTGCATACCATTGTGCAGCAGGAAGAGAGCGTAGAAAGCTCGAAGGCTGAGGCCATTGTGAAGCAATTACAAGTGGACGGGCGTTACCTGCGCGATGTGTGGTAGCCTTTTTATTTTTGGTACGAGTATTGCAAACCAGTAAGAGCTATAGATTATAGGTAGCAATCAATAGCACGCATTGATCTAATTCTATCTATTAGATCAGTGCAGAGATTCTCAATCAGTGCGCACATTGTGCAATGCAGGAATGTAGATTTTACGATTCTCGGATGTAGTATACCAGTGTAGTAAATATTGTAGGGTATTATAGTCATGGTTAAATCAACGCGGGTTAATTCAAACACTCCATTTGTTGAAAATGAAGTGTTTACCGCGGGTCAAGAAAGGTCACGATACCTCCTGCTTTCTACCGGAATCGAGTTGTTCGTCGTCATCTCGAACCGTGGAGGAGCCTGTTAGTTTGGATGCACGTCCTGCTTAATTCATCTTTTGGATGATTTTCTGTACCCGTTGATAATTGCAGTTCGAAGTACTGAAATTGGTGGATTCAACCAAGAGAACGTCTGTTTCGTTGTACGAAGGCGATTTGTTTATCAAGTTTTCGTGATTTTAGGAACTCCTCATTTCTGACTAGGCCTTTCCTGCACATGCTGTGGATTCCGACCTAATGACAAGGCTTTCGCTGTTCACGAGAGTGTACGGAGGAGGCAGTGATAAGCAGAAATGCTGGGAGCGCGAGGTTTCATGAATTGGTGACATTTGTGGGCACTTCTTAGTAGGGGGGTCCCTGGTTGAACGAGTCCGAAGTCTAAGGGCGGTTTGGGGGAAGGAATTCTCTTGACCCCACTTGGAGGTGTGTGATATTTCACCATTCCAACAACAAGGTGGGGTCCCACGAATCTAGAGATTGAAGGGGTCACCGACTCCGTTAAGCTGAAAATCATTTCTCAGGTGCTGTGCTGCAGAGGAAGTTTGACCATGTTCAACAAAGCTCATCGAACAGTGGGACTGTGTGTGGCTCTGTTCCAGGTGCTCCAATTATCCCCCCCTCCTCTGTGGCATCAACGACTCCACCACTTTTAGAAACGTGGGCGCTGGATTCGCTGCCCCCGCTCTTGATCAGTCGGTTTTGCGGACTCATTTTGACGAACTCGTCGCCTACATCCGCTTCATCCATTTCGTGGATGAGGGTGTAGATGATGAAGTGGTTGTGGATGTGGATGTGAGCAACGATGAATTATTAACTTTTGAAACTTTTTTGTGTATTATTTTTAATACACAAATCTTTTAAAAACTTACTTGTATATTATTATTGCTTTGAAGTGTAAAGTGTTTGCAAATTTGTTGCTAAACCAGATTAGGGTTACGTTCCAATTAATTTTGATTTTTGGATTAATAATTGCATATTATTAATAATTGATATTTCTTACAAATAACTCTTAGAGTTATTTGTGGATCAATAAAGAAAGAGTTATTTGTAAGAAATATGGCTGAACTTTGATTAGATTTTGTACATCTTTTCATTGATTAATTGTTTATACATGTATCTAATGAGAGTTGTAACTAGTATCTATATTAGTTATATATAAAAAAAAAAAAATAGAAGTAGGTACAAACTTGGTAAATAAATAGTGTTTTTCTTTAAAAAAAAAATGAGAAAAAATCATATATATTCTTCAAATATATTAGAATATCAAGAATATTCTTATATTCTTGATAATATCAAATATATCCTTATTGGTGATGAGGTATCACCAACATGCATTGTTTAGTTGTCATTTGGGATTTAGATTGCACAAATTTCACCATGTCCTTTTTCAAGATATTTTAGCAATTTACTTCTTGAGTTGAGTGAGTATGCATTTCAACATATTTATGCATACTATTACTGTTGAAAATACATATAAAATATACTAGATTTCCACATTTAAACAACCTTGAACTTTCACTTAAAAACTTGATTGGAGCGATTTATCATCTCTATATGGCATCACCTTCTTGATTTTTGACCACCCTTCAAGTCATCTTTGTACTTTGTGGTACAAAGACTGGCATGCAAGTAGATGGTAGTGGTGGCATGCGATTCAAAGAATGTCAACATTGTGGCATGGAAAGTGTCGTCTGAACCAAGTGCCACCAAGAATCTACAATATGAGGCATGGTTTGTAAATTAAAAAAAGAAAAAAGATGAGATTTTTTCAATTTTCAAAAAGCTAAAAAATAGTACAGCAAAATTTGTAAGGCTTGCAGTCTAGGCTCTAGATAATAACTAAATAAGAAATATTGATGATACCTTATCACCAACAAGAGCATATTTGCTATTATCACAAATTTGAGGATTATATTTGCTATTATTAAGAATATATGGATATTCTTAATATTTCAACATATTTGAGGGATATTTATGATATTTTTCCAAAAAACATCAAAAAAAGCTTTTTAGACTTGGATTAGTTGTATAGAGTTTTTTTTTTAAAAATAATAAATATAATTATTGATTTTTTTTAGAAAATTTTATTTTTAAAAAGCTAATACATAAGAAACTTTCACCTTGGATGCTTTGCCTACAAATCTTGTGGTCTTTAAAGGCTTATTACATAGATTTTATTATTAAATAATATATATATATATATATATATATATATATATAGAGAGAGAGAGAGAGAGAGAGAGAGAGAGAGAGAATTAAGATTAGAACCATTATCAATCTTATTATGTTTTGATTAAATTGAATTAAATTTAATATTTTAACTTTAAAATCTTTTTTAGAAAAATCTTTATTACTTTTGTGTTCATAAACAGTAATTTAAATTTTTTTCTATATATATATATATATATATATATATATATATTTGTATATATAGTATGTGATGCAAATAGATTAATTTTTAATTTCAATTTTTTCAAATTTATATCCTGAAACTTTAATAAAATTTATAGAGATAATAAAAAATAGACTATCAATTTATTTTAAAAAATTATACTATTTACTAGGTTGAAAATTACAATCTCTTATATTAATATTTTTTTTAGCACCATTTCTTTTAAGAAGAAATTCTTTGATATCATATTTTTAAATAATTAGTAGAAATATAGTAATTTATGATAAAAATTCCAAAAAGTACTTTAAAAATTAAAATTAAAATTTAGTTAGTTTTTTATATTATTGCAACCAAAATAAAGAATTTTTAATATAGAAGATAAAAAATTAATATAATTGTTTTAAAAAAATAATGTTTTTATTTTTAAAATAAAAGATTTAACATTGAATAACTTTGATGTATTTCTAACAAAAAATAGACCTTTGTACAAAGTTGACAAGGCAACTAAAATTTTGAACAAAGAAATTAATTTGGAATTGTAAAGATATATTTTATGATTTGAAAACTAAAAATTAATGCAATAAAATGATAAAATGGTGTTTTGCTAGTTAATTAATTAGCTATTATTATTATTATTATTATTATTATTATTATTATTATTATATTTTACAGTATAATGTAAAGAAGTGTTTCATAAATTTGTTGAATCTTTAAATATCAACTTTAAGCAATTAATTTAATTTTTAAATACAACATCATATTGTTTAGACTTTCATAAAACTTATCCATTTTTTGGTATTTAATATATATTATCATTTTTTTGAATTTTTAGATAATTTTGTGTTGCATTGTTTAAACATCATTCATATCTATTCTGAGAATATAGAAAAAATAATAAAAAATAAAAATTTCTTTTTAGTAATAAAACTCAATAATACACGTTAATATACTATGTAATGTTTTTAAGACTTTACAAGCTATTTTTAATAGAATTTTTTTTTCTTTTATTTTTCTTTTTTTGAATTTAAAATGATTTTTCCATGAATGGATGCATATGATCAATTTTACCCTATTATTTTTTGTTCAAGAAAATTCTCAGTTTTTGAAATAAATTATGAAATCCATATTAAACTTTTTTGCTATTTTGAAATTTAAAAAATTACATAACTATTCAAAACGGACTTAAAATCAAAAAAAAAAAAAAAAAAAAAAAAAAATCATCTACATCAAGAAAATTAATTATTTTATACCAATGTGTATCTAAGAATTTTCCTAATATTATTTATGCATATCTTTGTGATAATTTACTTTTAATAGTATATGATATCTTAAAACATAATATGATTTGTTAGATGTCTTGTCTAAAAATTCTAATCTTACATCATAAGAGAAATAAGTTTTTGTCTAAAACATATGATATTTTACCAAATCATTTGTCTTAAACTAGAAAATACAATTTTCAGCTCCAATATCAAAATTTTGAGTTGATTTTATTCTTTATTTAAAGAAGTCTACTCAGATTCGAAATAAAAATATTTTAATTTTTGATATTAAATTTAATTTTATGTATTATTTGAAATTATTTAACTTCAAGTGTATTCTTTTTAATTTTATAAGATATTTCTTTTGGAAAATCATTTACAATAGCATGTTTTTTAAGCTTGATACAATGTTTTAGCAACATGATATTTCAGTTACTATAAAAATTTGGAGATTTTTTAATAAAATATTTGGTAGTAAAAAATAATAAAATAATAAAATAATAAAATATATATTCTTGTAATATATGATTTTCTTATCATAATCCAGTATTTTTTTAATGACTAAAAAATTCTTGACTCTGAATACATACATAATTTGGTATTTTTCATACAAAATTCTGAATTTTTGAGTAATATTCTTATTTATAAAAATATAAAATTTATTCAAAGTTCTTAATTTTATATTTCTATTATATAAAGATTGAAATATTTTTATTATATTTTTATTGATTTTATGCATATTTGCTCCAATATAATGCTTTGGGCTCTATTGAAAATATAAAATAAAGTTATGAGTTATTGAAAGCTTATATATATATATATATATATATATATATATATATATATTTCAAAATTTAAAATTTAAAAATAGATTTTAAATTTAAACATAAAAGTTATTTTTATTTTATATTTTATAAAAAAGAGTATGCTTTAAAAATTAATTTGATATTAATTTTAGATACTTTTTTAGTGTGTTGTTGTTATTTCAATTGTTTTATTTTATTTTATTTTTGTTTTTTTTAATTTTACCACACAATCTAATTAACCAAAATCTTATTTCTTTGTAAATATCATAATTGTCTTTTCAATAAATACTTTTTTTTATTAAAGATATTAAATTATACTAAAATTTGAGAAGAAATTATGCTATTGTGTTATTAAAAGAAAGAAACTAAAAAAAGAAATGATAGCTATAAGTTAAAAATAGAATTAGAATAGCTATTACCAATCATATAAAATAAAGTATTAAACATAGAGTGAAATATAAGAAAGATGTTGATAAGACCAAGGACGGCCTTAGTCTTTCTTCTTTATATACTACCTATCAAGCATATCATGTAGAAGCCTCCTAAGGACCATAAGACTTGTGACCTAAGCATTAAGTTATAAGTTGCTTCTAATGCAACTTCTTTAAAGTAAAAAACTTATAGGAATTTTTTTGTAATAGCCACATAGCATTTTTGTAGGGGTCCAAGAATCTAATCTATGTTTAATTTTTTTTAAAGGTTT